TCTTGTATATGTGAAAATAAAAATGACAGCAAAACTGATAATTAATAAAAAAAGATCCTGTTACGCACAAGAAACATATCGAGTATTTGTAATGAGTTTCTTGAAGATAACGTCTGGAAAAAAGATGATTTTTATTTAGGCAAAATATGATCAAGACAAACCGGTACCGGTGACCATTACTGGTATTGCATTTTTGATGCCAGCTACACACCTGTTCCCGACTATACGCAATGAGACGCAAAATGTTTTTTTTCCAGGATGAAAGCAAAAATACCTATCTTTTTCTGCGTTCTTGGTAATTCTGGCCAATGCATTCTCCTTAGCTCACCTACGATATCCGTACTTCACCTGGAGACATAAGTCTTTCTTTTTTATGATCAGAGAAGGTTTTTTGCTATGCACTTTTTTGTTTTTTATTGTCGAGAAAACGAGTAGTCAACACAGGTGTATAGCGGTGTTTATGTTAAGCAGTGTAGGTTCACGTGTTATTGTTGCATTACAGCTTACTCAACTACTATACTCTCTAGTTATTTCTTATTATGATCAGTATTGCGATTCATGACTAAGATGCCCATATCTATCGGATAAGCAAGAAAACACAAATGAAAATAGCCTAGTAAAATCAAGGATTTTATTCAACTTTTTATATAGTCTCTAACTCAAGGTCTCTCTCTCTATGCTCCAATGGAAATAATCCGAACTATATTTCTCTCTCTTTGTGCTCCAATGCAAATAATCCGAATAATCCGAAATTTTCTCAGAATTTCGAAATCTTTCTTATTTACATAAAGCTTTTGCTTCTAATAACTGTTTCAGAGCCGAAAAATCTGACCGGAATCAGCTCTGAAATTTCGGAAAACTCAGTCCTGATTTCGTAACCAGATTCACAACTGAATGAAAGCTTCTCATAAATTTCATCTCTCAATCAGAACATACATTTTAATGACATCTGATTCAGTCCTAATAAAACTGTATAGCCGATTCAGCTTTTAGGACGAAAGGAATGTATATTTTTTATCAAACTGAATATCTGAAAAAGGTCGTCTTTCTTGAGCAAACAGATATAAAAAAGCAACGCTAAATATCTGATGACACATTATGTAGAAAGAAACCCGCAACGTATCAGAAACTAAAAAAAGACAATGAACGCTATTGCTTAAAATCTTCCAACCATCTAGGAGTTTGGATTTGCTGATGCAAATCTGATTGCTAATTTATTTTCAAACTTTACACAATAGGTTTTACCATGTATTTTTTTGTGGAAAAAGACACAAAATTTCGTCAGATTTTTCAATAAGAATGAAAAAAGAATAAATTTGACGAAATTTTGTCTTTTTGCACAAAAAAATACATGGTAAAACTTATTGTAAACACATCGAATTGTGCATTATTATATATATCCAGTGCAGCAGTATCGTATATGTTCAAACAAATTAATTCAAGTTGCCTTTTCGATTTGAATAAACGAGAAATGTTTATGAAATTCATTTAATTTGAACAGAAAAAACAAATAAAGATAGAAAAATGTGAAAAAAATATTTTTTTCTTTTTCTTTTTCTTTCATACCATATAAAAAGCATATAAACTGAATTAACACAATCAAAAATTTGTTATGGTTCGTCACTAGTTTTGAAAATATATTTCTGACTTTTTTTTTAAATGTTTTTTCTTGTTTATTTGTTGCTCTTCTTAAATGATAAGCTTGTCAGATTTAATATGTTAAATAAGACTTTTGATTCAATGATGATCGCAGCATTGATATTAAAGAATTAGTTTTAGATTTGAACAGACATGCAGAGTTACAGTTTACCTCGGAATATCAGTCAAAAGAGGGTGAGGGTGATCCCAACAGAAACTTCATTAATCAAAGCTGTAAGATTGGATACGCCATCTATCGAAAAAAAGCTTTATAGTTTTTTGATGGTTTTTTTGTTTTAAACTTCTTTTATATTACTGAATTGTAGTTGATAGTTTGGTCTTTAATAATATACCTTTAGTTTTAGCCTATCAGTTAGGTTTCTGCATAACTCATCACGATTTTTTCTGTATACTGACCTACGACCTCTTTTTTCTCAGTGTCAAATTGGATTGAATAATATAAAATTTTGCCAAACGAAGCAGTAGTGGAAACGTAACTAAATAGCTAAGAAAATTTTGTGGTGGCATGCTTCATTTATAGACAGAAAACAAAACATTTTTAAAAAAACGTGATTTCAAACTCGTTGTATACTGACCTTTTTAAACTTATTTTGTCATTATCTCCATGACAGTTGAGCTGTTTGACTCAAAACTTATTATATAAGTAGACACCCGAAGTGTGAGCTGCTGAAGAAAAAATCAGCTCAACATATTGTGTTGTTACAGAGGGAAATTGAAATAACTGAAAAATGTATACTGACTTGAATAATCCATATATTTGAGTCAGAGCTTCAGAAAAGTTGGGCTTATTAGATATCAATCGATTCCACTGATCACTTTTGATCGATGATAACCTTCTTTCCTTATGTGTCGGCTTTTGCGCTGAAGTAAGATAAGTGCAATAGAACTTCAGATAGTTCTTATATATAGTAGATCATTTTTTTTCTAACTATGTCAAACTTACGAATAAATCCTCTTGGTTGTTGTTCATTTTTACTTATATTTGTCTGTACAACTGTGAGCAGTAGATTTATGTCAGCAAATTTCACTTGATTCTATTGAGTAGAACTCTATAAAGTCATGTTTTCGGATCGGAAAATCTTCTTTTGCGATAGAAAAAGGGACAGGAAATTGATGGATTGGTTCAATTGAAAAAGATTTCCATGTGGGATGAGTATTGAGAAAAATTCTTCTATGATAGTATTAATCATTTACTGTTGAATACATTCGTGTGCCATTTTCGATCTTTACTGTTAATATAATTTTTTGAAATGTTTTTAAAAACTTTCGTTCAATATCGTAGAAATTTTTTTGTTTTTTTTATAGACATTATTAATTCTGAAATAAGTGGTGTATATTCAACATGTGATAATATTGTTGTTCATGAACGTCATCATCATCAACTAAATTCAGTTATACAAAATATTATATTTATTGACACAAATATAGTAATTCATCATTTAAATAATCAAGTATTAAATCGTTTAAGAACAGATGAAAGTTATATTTTTTATGTTTGTAGAACAACATTTAATGAACTTGTTAATCAAGGGAGATGTCTTAATTTATATGATGAAGGTATAAATATATTAAAAACTCCAGGATTATCATATGATAGAAAACGTATGATCTATGAAGATTATTATAAAAATGTATTAGAAAATCGGATACCAACGAAAAATGGAGAATTATATGAAGATTATAATCTGTATTATGAACAATATAAATCATCATTTCATAGTGATAACAATGATTTCTATACATATATCTCGAATGTGCATTAGGTACCAAATATATTTATCACGACAATAATAATAATGAAGAATTAAATTTTCTATTCATAACTGATAATCGTCATCTAGTAAATGTATTATTAGAAACAAAATCTAGAAAAGGTCGTTATGTTTTACATTCATTTATATCGGATTTAGACATTAATCGTCTAAATATTAAGCATATTTCTCAACTATAATTACATTTCTATAGACTACACACATAAATGAAAAATAATAATGAGTAATTCACGTATTTTCTAACACTATTACAAATCTCTATCTTTAAATTCATTGGTAGGCGTCAAAATCTGAACGGGATAAAAAACAATTTGAAATCTAAAATGAAAAGATGAAAATCTTGTTTGAAAATAGATGAACATTATGTAATTATGGATCTGTTTTACTTACGTACGATAACAGACAAGTTTGTTATGTTACGACAACAACATAAGAAAAAATCATTAAAGTATTAGATTGTTGAGTAGTTAGATTTTCAGAATAAAAATGAAATACATAGCAGCATTGCATTTAACGTATAAAAGTGTTACGATAATGTATGGCTGAGAATGAGTGATTTTAATACTTAATAGATCAGATCATAATGTAACGAGGAATTGAAAAGTTTACGAAATTAGTGAACAAAAACTACAGATTAACTATAAAATATCGAATAAGTTTGTAGAACAAAATGTGTATGTTTCACTGGAATCTAATTGTTTGAGCAAATGTTTTTTTGAGAGCAATAAATATATAGGCTCTTTTCACGTACGGACATCATGGATAGTCCCATCTATACCTTGAACACGACAGAAACAGAACAAAAACTCATTCTCCTTTACGTAACAGGTCTCTTCCTTTACATCTTTTTTCCAGACGTTATCTTCAAGAAACTCATTACAAATACTCGATATGTTTCTTGTGCGTAACAGGATCTTTTTTTATTAATTATCAGTTTTGCTGTCATTTTTATTTTCACATATACAAGA